CCCCCCCCCCATACCTAAAATATAACCTAAACCATGAAATTTCATGAAATCGAACTTTGGTATTGCAACCTTTCCCTGACCCAATCCCAAAACTTTTAGCACAGACTTTCCGATGGTTCAGAATTCTTCCATTCAGGTCCATAACGACCCATTCGAGTGATGATAATTTTTTGACAATTCGCCAGTTTTATGTTTTTTGTTAAGTATCGGAACGCTCTCTAGGAAATTCATTAGCCGGCTAACTAGCTGAGCGGGGGTGGGGGTGGAGGGGTGCGGCGGATTGTAAAGTAAAGCCTAATTATTCTTTTATTCATGAACGCAGATCCATAACGCGGTAACTGCATTCCGCAGGAACTTTATCAGGACCAATAAAATCATTCCTCGCATATTTAGCACCTGATTATCCGGAGCCGCGCCGAGCTTTCCGACAAAGGTCGAGGATTTTTTTTTTTTTTTGCTAAACGTTGGGGATCCGATGAAGTCTCGTCTCCCAACTCTCAGCGTCTCCCCCTCCAACTCTCATCCCGCTAATCTCTTTGCTGGCAGGAGAACGAGTTTAATACTTTAAAAGCAGCCAGTGCATTAGCTGCTTGGCTCGCCACCCTTCCCATTGCGGATATTCCTGCCGCTCCGCCGCCATGAGCCCTGCAGCATGCTGCAACATGTTAAGGGCACCTTGGGTCTTAAAGGGTACGTCCACCTTTTGGGCGCTGGAAGGCAGGGCGGTGACAGATCGCACTCTATACATAGCATTTATTATCCATGTTGCTGCATTAGGCAGATGCAGGCTTATGAAGTATCCTTTGCTTCCAGAGGGGAAACTTTGCTTTGTTATATCTTCCTAAAGTGTTGTGAGGTTCTCTGTAGCTGGCAATGGAATATTTTCATAGGGCCAGCTGCATCTACATCCCCCTCCCCCACCATGGAACACAGTTTACTTTAAAGTATAAGCTCCTCTGTACAGAACAGAGACTGATATGACTGGCTCATTGTTCTCTGTACAGCACTGTGGTATATGTCAGTGGTATAAATGTATAATAGTGTGTGACTGTGGGGGGACATTAGAGTGTAAGCTCCTCTGTACAGAGACTGATGTGACTGGCTCAGTGTTCTCTGTACAATGTCTCGGCTATATAATGTAATAAAAAAATGATATATTGTATTGATAAATGTGATTATTTTCGTATCCTTATTTTTACGCAGATTTCTCACCATCTGCGTCCCCATTGGATGGAGCGCTAGCTCCGCAGAACCAGGGCGATGGCACTGATCAGAATAGGAAGGCTAAAGTGAATCCACTGCCAGTTCTAGATTGGAACATTGATTGGATGGATGAAATGGAGGCCAAGTACAACCAGAGGAGTCAGACCAGAGCTATGTACCCCTTCAGTAAAAAGGTGAGAAGGACCAGACATCCTGAGTACCACCATCAACATCTCACACTCTCATGACTCTACACTGTCAATAATAATACTGGAACTTGAAAAGTGTAGCTGATTATAAACATTGATCAGAGGGAGATAGAGAGATACAAAGTAACATTGTTTATAAACATTGATCAGCGGGGGAGATAGAGAGATACATATTACCATTGTCACTTTTTTATTTACTTTGGTAAATTAATCTGCAGATCAGAGGGTTCGGCTTCCATCCATATTTGATGTCAGTTAAAGCAACATTTGAAGTAAAAACAAAAGTTTTTTCTTTTCTCTCCCCATAACTATTATCTCCCTGATTAAACTTTTTTATTGTTATTTATTTTTGTTAATTTTTTTTAGTTCCACATTAAAAAGAACCACAAAATTGAAAAAATTAAATTGTAAATAACTTTGCAATGCGTTGTACGAGAATCTTGATTTTAGTATCATTTTAAACAGAACAAATAAAAGAACATTTATAGATTGCATGAAAAATAAAATCATTTTGGCAAGCTTGTCCTAACAAAAATTATACTATGTAATACTTTGTTATCTTCAGTAATGATAAAGCTATTGCTAAACTCATAGGCCCATGGTGGTAATGTAAAATTGATCTGGTCCCTGGGGTGGGGGGGG